TGTGTGATAAATTGCTTTCTATATTAATTGTCTCACTATGTTATATGTTTAACATCGTTTATTAGACTTTATAATCTAGAATATAATCACCTTAATCAGAAAACATCTATTAAACTGTTAATAAAGCTCCAATAAGTATATGATAGCTAGGAAAGTTGAAAGAGGATGGGATGCAACAGCAACACGGAGTGAGGGACGATTTCTCAGTTAATTAATAGCAAGTGATTAATCATCAGAACCTGGCAACCCTTGTCAAACAAACCGTCGAGCAGCGCACGTATGTGATCTGCAAATACGAGCGCAGAGAGAAAAATACAGGATACGTGAGAGACGAGGAGGTTGTCACGCGAATGGGGCAAAAAGGAAGAAGACAGTACGCGGACTCAGTGGTTTTATTATTCTTCTTGATTACATGGAGTATATGAGCTTGAAAAAATGTTAAAAAAAAACAAAGTTTTCTATTTGTCTATATGTTTTAATAATCATTAGTATATTTCTATATTTACGCTAATATAGCTGTGACGTAATTCAAGATTTAAAAATTTAAAACTCGCGACAATTCTATGCGTGAGAAAACAAAAATTTAAGGGATGTAAAATATTCGCTGTAATTAAAATGACTTGAAAACCAATCAATCAATCTAGTAAAGTACATTGAAATGTCCCAAAAGTGAATAAGCTCTCTCTCTCTCTCTCCCCTCTTTGCGATCTCGAAATAAACCGCGGCGGTGGCGGCTTGCGGTGTGCTTCGTGATCCGAGAAGATTGCACGGTCACGGTCCTTAAGTTTCGTAGGCGTCGTGCCGGACCGTTAATTACGATCACCCGCTCGGTTAATCACCGCGTCGGACGCGGCGACAGTTTAAATGGCGAGCGACGGCGCGCACCGTGTAAGCAAGACCGCGAAGCGAAGTTCTGTGGATGTAAATAATGAAGCGCCGCGTTTCCTCGCGGATTAATGGACGCGGCTTTTGAGCAGCGCTCTTGAGAAAATGTCGCTATGAAAATTTTCATGTTGCCTCACTATTATTCGTAACAACCGTCTACTTTTTGTCACGCTGGATTAAACAAGACCCATTAATGTTTTATACAAAACAGAAAAACAAAGTTTATTTTTCGATATTTTTATCAACATATAAAAATACTATTCGTAATATTTTTCTTTGAATAACAAGATAAAAATATAAAATATTTAATTGCACATATTTACAAGTTAACCAAGATAAATTAAGGTGTGTTAAGCGATGTGACACTTTTTCTCAGATAGTACGCATTTAAACAGCAATTTCTTTTCCTTAAATTCTTATAATTCTTATATTATTAACATCAGTCATGCTAAATTAAATGATTTTAACTCAACCTAGTAATACTCTGATTTTACATCTTTATTACTTTTTATTGCACATTTTTCTATCTATATTCCTAAAAAACAAAATGTACCAAACGACATTATAAGAGTGGTCTCCACCAAAATCAATTATTATTTTCAAGCGTTATTTTGGAGTACATAAATTCCGTGGAATGAAAACCCATTAGCCAATCCATTAATTATTCCATACGATTAATTATTCTATCGCAACACGGCGACGGTTTAAAGAAGCAAGAGATTATTCCCGGACGGCGACGCGGCAACGATTTTGCTCGAGGAATTTCAAGTTAGTCGAGATTTAAAGTGGACTTTAACGTGTAGTTCGCGACACAAATTATCTCGAAGTCAGCTTTAAAACTAAAGCTCCTTTAAATTTTTTGTAAGCCGCTTTCCGCGATGCTGAGTCCCGTAAATGAGATTCACGATTGAGGCAGTAAATTGAAGCGGCGTTTCTGCAGAAAAGCAGCAACATTTCCAGAGAAATATCCGGCTCGTGAAACATTCCGAGAAAAGTGGCAAATACTTGATGACATTTCATCAAGGATTTATTTCTAGGAAATAAATTCTTTATTATATTGTTTACGTGTGTCATGGGTGTAAAGATGGTTGGGGTGCATCGAATAAACACTTAAAAACGCAGGTATTAACTGTTCATTTTTTACCATTTCTTAGACAACATAGATAAAATTCTTGCTCAAATTTTTCTCTCTCGCATATTACATATAAAGTTTTGCGCGATATCAGTTCACCGAGACTCGAGATTTTTGGTAAATATTCATTCATGCGGATGATATTTGGCAACATCTCGAAACAATTGTAACCAAAATCGATCCCTAGTGTAACGCGACACTGATCTCTCAACCACTCGCGTTGGTCGCAACACAAAGTTGGCTGAATAAACATCCGCATGCAGTAAATAAACAACGTCGAAATAAATCGATCGCTTGAACCTATATTAATACGAGACGATGTAGCAGTGATCGCCATCCATTCAAGTGTACAAATAAATAAATAAAGCGGACAGATAGTAGGTAAACGTCCAGAGAACGAGACGTTGAAATCGATTGCACGCCGATATCGAGATGGAAAAAGAACGGAAATGGGTCGCGGAACGTCGTCGCAATAAATACAATGGAAAAAATATGGCGGAAACGACGCCATCCTGTAAGGATAACGTAATTTAGTGTATCGAACAGCGTTGTTGATGGTTCGAGAATCGTTCGTTCAGATAAACAAACAGACTTTTAATTAAATTCATACGTATCGCCTTTGGACTACGACACTGCAGTGAGTATTGATTTTAATTTGATATTACAATAATAAAATGGAAAGAATTCTGTCTAGTGTTTTTATATAATCCATAGGATTAAAATATCAATAATAGACGTTCATAAAACATAAAATTTTTGTCTCTTAGTAACATCTATTATTTCATTCTATAAAAGTATCATTTTAAGATTAAACAATCTTTCCAAAATTGAAGAATATTTCTTAATTTCAACAATTTGACAAAAAATGAATATATTTGATATCACGAATCAATAATTAATATATTATATCTCTAACAGGATCTAATCTGTATTACCATCCTATTAATTTCAGTCCGTTATTGACAAATGCTCTGCCGAGATATTTGCTCACTCGGTTATTTACCAACCCGGCAATTCGCCATGAAAACCGAAACCAATCGTGATTAGTGCGTGCAGCACGGCCGCAATGATTGCAAAAGGACGTTACGTGGAATTAATAAACGTTTCGATCGATGTATTTGTTTAAACACCGATTTATTCATCCGTGCAAAATCTCATTATCCACATTCCGATAGAATTCTTGTATATATTAACATTACCGGTGTACATATAAATGTAATTATTCTTTTACAAAAATTGAACTTTGTGATTGTTTACAACTGTTGCAA